AAATGGGGAGGGGGGCAGGGTAGAGGGGAGGGTGGCAAGGAGAGCAGCCACTGCAGGAATGAAGGGGGAAGGGAGGGAGGGAGGGAGGCTGGAGGGGGCTGCGGTGCTGGCAGAGAGAGATGCGGGGGCGTGGGCAGGGAAAGGGGGGAGTGACAATGACACACACCAGACACACAAGAACTGCGGACACAGGGATGTTCGTGGGCACATGCAGGGCACCCACACCCTGAGACTCGAGACCGGTATCTGAGCTCTCTGTCAGGGGATCAGAGACTCGTTCAGAGCCAGTCCTTGCCCCCCTCCTCATCTTTTCCTAGCACTGACCCTCATTCTAACCCTTCCCCCTCCCTCACACACACACACACACACACTCACGTGCTTTCCCTCTATAGCCAGCAGTGGCTTCTCGCTTCCATCAGTGGCTCCACTTTCCCAGAAGAAAGCCCATCAGCTCTGCGGGGAAAGAGCTGGGGAGGATTAGAGAGAGAGAGAAAAGAGAGAAGAGATGGGGGAGGGAAAAGGAAGGGGAGGAACCTGGAACAGGTAGAAGGAGCAGGCTAAAGGAGAAGAAAAACAAAACAAACAAACAAAAACTGAGAACCAAGGTGACTGTGAAGATTCCAAAGAAAGGAGGGAGAAGAGGGGATAGGAGACCCTGAGGCAGTGTCTCACCCCCCCCCCCCTATCCAGTACTTCCCCCCAGCCCTCTGGATTCCCCTCATTCCACATTCCCCTCCTCATTCCCCCTTCATCTTCCAAGCCTGCTTACTGAGGCAGTGGGATGGGGAGGGGGTCACGTTACCTTCCTGAGGAGGATGAATCAGAGAGAGATGGCTCAGACATCTGGAGAGGGGGAGGGGAAGCCATCCAAGAGAGAAAGAAGAGGGGAGGGACAGAGCCCGGGGGGCTGACTGGGAAACTGATGGGGATAAGAGACCAAGTGTGAGATGAGGGGAGACGGGCATCTAGAGAAACTGTGTATATGCCCATGGACTTGTGTGAACACCCACCAGCGTGTGCATGTACATGTGCGTGCATGTGTGTTTGTGTGTGTACAGATATTAATGGGACACATGGAAAAGAAAAATAAAGGGAACTGGGGAGGGAGAGAACCAACTGTATGTTTAATCAGATCAACAGTGCACGGGCATGGTAGTGTTTCCAATTTAAATATGTGATCTTCTCTTCCAATCCGTGGGGCTCTGTTTTTGTCTGTTTCCAGGTGTCTCTGAAGGGTGGGGGGTTCTGATCTCTTCTGAATGTCTGCATACCTGTGCAGTTTCTAATCTTTGAGTGAAGCCAGTTCTGGGCATCTGTCTGAAAAGTGTGCCCGACTTGGTGGTACACAATGTGTGTATACATGTGTAAATATGTGCCTTTGTGCATTTCTCTGGGATCTTTCATGCCTACTGGTAGATGTTGGTGGTTTGTGTACTTCTACGTGGGTTGATCTTTCTTGCGCCCCCCCATTCACCTTCATTTCTAGACCTCTGTGCAGTAAAGCCTCAGAATCCAAACCACTCATTTGCAGTCCCGAAGTTCTGGGTCTTTACCCCTCGTCTTCACAGTGTTCCCCATTTCTCCATTTCCCCCCAACTCCCCACCCCTCCATTTCTCCACTTAAGCTCAGAAGCCTAGGGGAGCTTCCCAAGAGCCTCAGTCATCGTGGGGTGGGGTGGGGTTGGGGGAGTGAGTTGGAAGTCCTGGGCACCAAAGGCAATAGGCTTGGTGATTGCACAGCCTGGGTCTTGACCCCTCATGTGGACATGGTCTCTGGACTCTGCATCTGTTTCTGCCTGTTTCCAACCCAGTTCCCTACCTGGGTCAGCTCATTCACACACACCCCAATTCCCAGGGATGAGTTGTGCCCTTCATACCCTACTGCCTCTAGGGGCTTCTGGGAAAGAGCTCAGCTGGGGACAGGTTCCTGGGATAAGGAAAGGAAGGAAAGATTAATGGAGAAAGAGAACTGGAAAAGGCAGAGCTGGAGGAGATGCCTAGTGTTTGCTCTGAGTTGTTTGTATGAATTCATCTCTTTGTCTTTGTTTCTGAATCTCCCATACTCTCTCAGAGGGTAACAGGAAAAGATGGGGTTCAGCAGATAGTGACCGAACCTGAAGATTTGGAAAGCCAGGTGAGGGGGGCAGAGCACTGGGTCTTTTCCCTGCAAACGTCTGGGAGAGAAAGAGAAGGAAGGGGCTTGCCCCCCCAGCTCACTGTCCCCCTCTTTCCTTCCCCTCCCCCCAACTGGTGACTCACCTCTGCAGCCTTTCATTGCATCAGCCATGGGGGGGGACAGGCAGGGAGGGGGCACTTTATGAGAGGGGGAGGGGTCTCCACTTTGAACTGAAAGAAGGTGCTGAAGGCCCCCTGAAAATGACCCCATTTAGAACACATTATTGCCCTAACCCCTACCCACCCCAGAGGTGAGGAGTCCTGAGAAGGGGACTGGGGAGAGGGCTAGGGGCCACTGGAGGGTCCAGAATGATGAGCGATGGGAAGGGGATGCTCACCTTGATTTTCAGCCCCAGGGTCCTGTTCCCTCAGATGCCCACCCACTCCTGAATGGGGGAGGGGAGACCCAGCAAGCCGGGGGAGGGCAACACCGCAGAGATGAGTCACCAAAAAAGGGGGAGAGAGGAAGAGACAGAGATGGGGAGAGACACAGAGAGACAGCTACTGGAGAGACTGAGAAAGGAGCGTGTGTGTGTGTGTGCGCACACACACACACACACACACACTCACACCATGAAAGTGGCATCCACAAACCAACAAGAGAAAGAAAATCGTGCACTTCCATAATCCTGAACCAGCCTCCACCAACATCCACCTGTCACACACACAACACACTATCATACCGAGTTACACTGAGATTCTGGGAAACACCCACTGACACAAACACAATGTCACACCTAGCCTAGCAGAGTCACTCAGACCTATGCTGAAGATATGTTCAGGGCAATGGAGATTCGCCTTGAGATTCCTTTTACAGGGTGGTGGGAAGGGGTCAAAACCCTCAAGGAATGAGACTTCAAAAATCCAAAATGCGATTTCAGGCACTTAAAGGCTGAGCCGTGCACACGCGGCAATACACACAAGTCTTCTGCCTCCCTATCCACACGTACATAGCCACAAATCAAGCATCTAACTCATCGAAAAGCCACTTGGGGTACCTGATTCTGGAGTACACCAGGCACGTTGTCCCAAATACATTCCACCCAGATACCCCCTGACTCGTACACACATGTACAGAAACGCAGACACACAAAGACACCCGTGGACACACTCACACGGACGGAAACCACCTTGCGCTGCCTCGCCCGCGTCCGCACACGTCCTGGCGCCCTCGCGTGTTACTTTTCGGGATCGCAGTCACCGCCGCTCCGGAGCTCTGCTCCGGGAAGGGGGGGGGGGGCGGGGCCCAGGCTCCCTCCACCTCTTCCCCCGACCAAGCGTTGCCCACCCACAAATGGGGAAAGCGAGCGCGGCTGGCCACGGGCAAGTCGAAAGCTGGAAGTTAGACGCCTGGATCCTGGGGCTGAGGGAGGCTGGTCCTGGGTGCCAAGGAAAACTTGGGAGAAGTACCCTACAGAATCGAGGTAGCAGCTGACTCTGAAGTCCAGGGAAAGCGAGGCCGGGAGCTAGTCTGGGCGCCGCGTTGCTGGCCGCCTCGGTCTGAGCAGCAGCTTCTTTCTTTCGCTTAGCTGGGGTGAAGGTGGGGGCGCACATCGGCCAGCAGCCCTCCCCAGCTACCCCCCTCCCCTCAGGAAGTCATTAGCCCCATTGCCACGGGGCTTAGAGATCCTCTTTAATACAGGCTGCTGGGGAAGTGGGGGGAGATAATGTGTCTCATCTCTCCCCACCGAGAAGAAGTGAAACAGACACAGAGGATGGGCCAGAGGTCTGTTTTATTGCCATTCGGCCATGGTGGAAATGACAAGGGGGTGGCAGCATGGCCAGGTGCAGGGGGCAGCCAAGGCAGAGCCGCACAGCTGGAAAGCCAGAGCTGAGGAAAGTGGTGAAAAGGTGTCTGTCCCCTTTGCTCACCTTCTTCCACCTCTTGGCACTCTCATCTGCCCATATTTTGGATTCCATCTCCAGCAAACCCTGTGCTCACTGTCAACCTTTTCCTAGCAACTGTTCATTATCCAACAAGAAGTTTGAGCTAACACCATCACACAGAGTGAGGTTCTGGGGCATGTTCCGGGCTCGGGACACTTGGGTTCTAGTCCCTGCCAGGCTCCCAGCTACTGAAAGTGACTTAGAAGAAGTCACTTTGTTCTTTCTGAGCCTCTGTTTCCCCTCTCTGCCTTTGATGTAGGGGTCCAGTATAGGAGACAGTGCTGTTCACATGCAGCTGCTACTACTTGCATTTAAATAGAAGACTCAAAGTCTAGAAAGCATAAATGATCCAGAGGAAGGAAACAGTGTCCAGAAACACCGGGAGATGAGGGTTCCAGTTGCATTAGAAGGCAGCCTGGTTGGAACCAGGACACAGCCCCCATGCCAGGCTGAGGGATCTACCCTCCACTGCACCAAACTCTCCAGCCAGAACCCCCTGGTGAGTTGAGAGTATGAGGGAGAGACCTTGAGAAATAGCTACTTCCTACAAAGTTGGAGGAAATCCCAGTCAGAGGGGCAAGGTCAGGAAAGTGCATCACCAGAGGCAAACAGGGGCCAAATGGGTGATATTACACTTATATTTCATTTACAGGGTCTCTGTTAGTATTGCGCACTGAGCCGGAGATGAGGAGGTCACAGGAAAGGGGAACGAAGGAGAAGAAAATAGGCACTGAGGAGCTAAGTGTTGGGGAGGTCCAGAGAGGAGGAGGATGGGGGGACAGAGAGAAGCGGGGGGAGGACACTGATCTAGAGGCACAGGAGGCTGAGGGGGCCGTGCGTGCGGAGGGGAGCGCTGGGCCAGCTCTGAGGGTTTTAGAAAGGGCAGGACGAAGTAACGAAGATCGGGCGGCCGGGATGCCGGCCGGGGACGTGGCATTGCACACATTCTGCCCCCGCTTCCACCCAAGAGGGGGCAGAAGGAAGAAGCCAGGAAGGGCGAAGTTCACTCCCAGGCTAGGGCGATGGACAGGGAAGGGCTCTGAAGCCTGAAGTGACCAGTTTTTTGGAAGGGGAGACGGTGGATAACAGCAGCGCAAGGGCCCTCCCCAAATCCAGCCGTTCAAGTCAGGGAGTGGGCAACGGCGTTTGGGGGCGCTAGAGGCAAAATGGCAGAGGTAAGGGGGAAAGCGAAGACTGGGGACCGGCACTGGGTACAGGCAGGAGTCAGAGCCGACTCCTGAGGGAGGCGAAGCTTCGAAATTATAGGGGCGGGGCTGTTTGGGGATCTGCGGGAGGGGACGGATCTAAAATGCTGTTTCTCTCCCCTCTGCAAGGAGACCTCAGATGTGTGCCTCCAGCAGGTACTGCTCAGTATAACCCTTGACCAGCTCAAGCCCCAGGCCGGCCTAGCAGAAGTTAGCCAGCTGCGAGCACAGCTGGGGAGCCAGGAAGAGCTGGCACACGACGTTCAGACTTCGAGACGCGGGGCCTGGCGCTGCAGGTGCCACAGCAGCTGGCTCTGCACCTGCACGCCGTTGCTTCACCTGCACGCCGTCGCTGCCGAATGCGTCGATGTTGAGGCAGCACCAAGTGCCGTCGCCGCCATGTGGGACGGGGAACGGGCGCGTGCACAGCGTGAGCACTCGCGGGCACTCGCGGCTGTCCACGCGCCACTCCAGGTCATTGGCCGCCAGCAGGCGCAGGTTGCTCTCACTCGGCCGGTAGTGCTGCCAGTCCTGGATGATGGTCTCTTCCGGAAGCACGTCGCCGTGCACGGAAGGCGACAGCAGGAGGCGTGCCACGTCGCCTCCTGCCTCGTACACGGCCTCGGTGGACAGCGGCGAGAAGGTACCGGAGGTTCGCAGCGCCGCCAGCCGCGGGCCCAGCCCCGCCAGTAGCTCCGACTCGTTGAATCGGACCAAAAGGATGCCCTGCGGGGGAGACGAGTGAGCGCGGGGTGGACGGCAGGAGGGCTGGTGAGACAGGCGCCTCTTGCCATCTTCAGTCCCATATTCACACCCAGGGGCTCCCACCTGGGCCCCTCGTGAGGCCCGGGTGGAGTGGGGTGTGTGAAAGCCTGGGTCCCCAAGGGTAGCAAGGAGGGACCAGCGGCAAAGGTTCCGGATACATGGATCCCCAAGGAGAGGCGGGATTAGTATGGAGTAGCCAGGGAACCGGGGGTGCGGGTCCCTGGGTCTCCCAGGGTAGAGAAAGCGAGGGAGGCAGATCAGTCGGTAGGATGGGGGAGACAGAGAGGGAGGCCTCAGATTAGGATGTTTGGGTCCCTGAAGAGAGGCAGATCCATGTAGGGTGACAGGGTCATAGAAGTTGGGAAGGACTGAGGGTTTGAGGCTGGGAGTTGGGGGTTTGTCTTCCCCTGGGCGACGGGGTCTGGGTAAGGACTGGGAATCCCAGGGCAAGGCTCATGGGACTCTCCACTCGGTAGAGGCCAGAGAGAAAGCCCATAATGGGCTGGGCGTGGGAATGGACACCCTTATGCTCCAGCGGAGTGGCATGGCCATGGGAACTCCCTTGTCCTCACCTGCGTGGTGATTAGGCGGTATTTCTTCAGCTCCCGGGGGCCCAGCTATTTGTCCCGGGTGAGCCGTACCACCTTGACCCCCGGGTGCTGTTGCTTGACCAGCTGCGAATAGAAGCGCTGCAGCAGCCCGGCCATGCCCTTGCCACGCTCCCAGGACGCCACGCGCAGCCCCTCCCGCAGCGCCATCTCCTCCGCGTCGATCACTTTCATGGACTCCAGCGCTATCTGTGGGCCGAGGCCATTAGGGGACCCCTCCCCGCCTCCGCCAGGGCTCTCGGCTCACAGGGCTTGTCTCTTCCCACACGCTGAGGACTCCGTCGTCACCACCCGGGCGCCTGGCTGGACCTGGGGCGGCCCAGGGAGCTCTCCTCCGCACTCGGATCTCGGAGTCCGGAGCTAGCAAAACAGCCATCCTCCGGGGCCTCTTCCACTTTTTTGGATGCTCCAGCTCCAAGTGCACAAAGTCCCCGACCGCTCGCCACGCCCCTTTCTTTGGCTCCACACCCACGAGCTTGTCACGCCCCCTTGCACCTACAACGCTCCCTCCACGTCCCCCACCCGACCCTCACTGACTTGGCCCTACGCCTTGGTCTCAAAGCAGACTCTATTTCCTCAGCAACCAGACAGGGCTGGGGAGAGGTTCGCCGCCTCTCCTTCCACGCAGCCAAACCTGGCTTCACCCCTTTTCACCCGTGCCCCGCCCCCGGCTCTCACCTCTCCTCCGTTGCGCTTGGCCAGCACCACCATGCAGTCGGGATCCCGGAGCCAGCTGTGGTAGCGGCTGGGAAGGTAGTCCAGGCCACTGTAGATGCCCCCCGAGATGGCCAGCACCTCCTCAAATTCCTGTTCAGTGGCTACCACGAAGTCCAACGGCTCCACCTCAGGCCCTGATCCAGACCTGGGCTTGGCCCCCGCCTCCTGTGGCCAGGTCTCAGAGCTCAGCTCTGCATCTGGAGCAGGCTCCTTTTCGGACTTAGGGACCTCTGAGGTTCCAGCTTCATTACTCTGCAGAAAAGAGAGAATCAGAGGGACCAGAGCCCCCTGTTTCAACATCAGGCCCCCTACACACAAACAATCCCAACAACCAGCACCCTTTCTTTTCTGCTCTCCACACAGATCCTGGGAATGGAGGGCTCCCAGCTCCCTTCCTCCACCCACCAGCTCCCAGAAATCCCAACTCAACCCACTCCACCCCTACTAGGATGCTAAACAGTCACAAACTCAGGAGGAACCCACAGCGAGCTCCCTAGAGCTTGGTCTCCCCAGAGACCAGCCCCAAATCTCCTCCATGCCCAGCCAGCTCCCAGGGACCCAGATAAAGGAGAGAAGGCCCTGGGGAGGGGGATAAATATGGAGGAACACTCCTTCAAGAGCCCGACCACCTCTCCAATACCTCTGCAAGGACAACATGAGAAAGAAACGCCCATGGTCTCCACTCTGCCTCCAAGAGGGGTTCCCCAGGGAAAAGCAGAGGAATAACTGCCTCCCCCCCCCCCCCCCCC